CCGATTTAATTACATATGATGGGTATTAATTTTAGTCAAAACTTCTAAATAATATTACCTCAACTGATTAAGATGTGTGGGACACATTATCGCTTTGTGCGTCATCGTATGCCTGCACGCCAGGATTGGGAGGTGCGGCCGTACAACTCTATGTACAGCGACCGTACAAACAGTGGCCAATCAGTAGCCTCCGTTTGTTTAACCTAATCGGCCATCCTGATCATGAGTAGCTCCATGCGCGTACACTTTTTCCACAATATACGTACTGAATAAACGGGCTCCGTGCTACACGTCTGTATCCATAGCTTAGCTGATTCTGGGAGTCTAGCTAGATGTTGGAGAATCTGGCATAGAGATTTCTGAGTCAGTCAGGCTTTACTAAGGTAGCAATCCGATACAGATGAAATGGGGATATAAACAAATTCATATTTAAGGCTAAGAATTAAAGGAATTCAAATTAATTTAGGTAATTACCTTCTACTTTCAAATCGCTTTAGCTTTTACCAACCAGTTCTTTTTGCCATTGATAAAAGTGCTGAATTCGTGAACAAGTTTCCAGGTAATAAGTCATGAAGTTCGTTATCTATCATAAAAGGAAGAAAACTGGGGTGTGCGATAGACTTACCTCCACGTGGTGCACTCTGGGCAACGTATACTCATACGGCAAAAAAGTCTATTAACTGGCAGTTGACTTCCGACTTCAAACCACCATGACTCCACTGTTTGTCATATTTGACTACTTCCACGTTACTAGCCTCACCTTTTTGCTACCTTTGTGTCTGCCTCTTTTACATCTTTGAACCTCTTCTGTTCCCTCCCCCTCTCGACTTTTTTCCTCTTTGATGTTCCTTCCCCTCTGTGGAACCTGAAATCCACTAAAGGGCTAATGATAACTATCAAAACGCCTGCCATTTGATATAAATAAATAAATATAAGAAAGAAAACCACCAATTAATTGAATAAATAGGAAACCTATTTCAATAAAATTGCGCAAAGTATTCGGATACCCTGATATTTTTCTAAGAATGCTTCCTTTTTCTTTATTTTACTATTTGCAGTTATCTGATTCCATTTGCTTTCCTGTAACAACAAAGATAACAAAAATGACTTTTTTGGCGAGTTATTACAATTAAATGTAAAATTCTGTTATCTAGCTAATGTTAGCTACCCGAAGAAAGGCAAAGTTGCCTAATTCATATCAGATTGTGTGAATGAGAAATAGAGCGTTCACTGTACGTTGGACCAACTTTGCTGTAAATAGGTTTATAAGTTATTTTAGCTCAAAAAATGCAACTTTCAAGATTGGGATTGAGCCAACCTGGATCAATTTCAGCTATACCTATTTGGGCCTAGGTCTTTTAGACTCCTATGCAGATACTGTCCTCAAATACAAGTTGCTTCCTAAACCATATGCACACACCGAGATTCTCCACCGTCGTTTACCTGCTCGTCTTTCTTCAGTTTTCACAACCAACTTCTCTCTGCGGCGCCTTAAGTACAAGCCCTTTGCTTCTAGTTAACTTATGGTATTAAGCACTTATTTCTCTTATCCGCCTTGACTGACCAAGCAAAACATAATTATACTGAACGGGTTAATTTTTACAACCATTGAGGATCGAAATTATAGCTCGGTCAGATAGCACTGTCATGGACACTAGGTATAGGAGTAGCAGCAGAAGTGATTAACAATTTAAAAGTAGGGTGGCCCTAAAGAGGGCCGTTGGAGCGTGTTACAAGTGTTCCTCATGTCCGCAGACCAAAGATCTATCCACCGAAACCGTAGAGAGTACGGCCCTGGCGTTTGAGGGCGTAGACCACATCCATTGCGGTTACAGTCTTTCGTTTAGCATGTTCAGTGTAGGTTACAGCATCTCTGATAACATTCTCAAGGAACACCTTGAGGACGCCACGAGTCTCCTCATATATTAGACCGGAAATGCGTTTTACACCACCCCGACGGGCTAGACGACGAATAGCAGGCTTGGTGATGCCTTGGATGTTATCACGAAGCACCTTTCTATGACGCTTAGCGCCTCCTTTTCCGAGACCTTTAGCACCTTTTCCTCTTCCAGACATTTCCAAATATATATAAACTCAAAATAAATAACTAGATCACAACGACTCCGTCATACTTAACACGGCCGATTTACACTGTTTATATACTAAAATTGTTTTGACATGTATTCCTCAAGTACCAATTAAAATGCAGCCTTGGCTCAGATAAACGAACCGAATATTTCCGACCCATTATACTCCTGCCAATATTTTGTCTATCATTATTTTTAATCTACCTATATTTGTTGCATTAAAATATTCGCATTATTAATATATTAAAATATTTCTCCTTAATAATTTTCCATCTATTAGTACGACTAACTGGGAATGTACATCGCAAAGAAGGCTGTTCAGAGCAATCTGATTCGCGCAGGAATATTCTAGAAGGTGCGGTCGTGAGGCCTATTCCGCAGCAAGGAAGTACGGCTGTGAGGGCAGAGAACTCTCAGCCAACCAGATATCAATAGTCGTTGCAACCTCGCTTAACACTAAATGTTTTAAAGACCAGGCTTTACGCTAGTGGCCCTTAAGTCATTATAAACGCCACTCACGGGTACGCACTGCGCCGTCAATACTTTTGAGGTAGCTTAGCTAACTTTGGGGACGAAGTTGTGCTATGGGAGTGTTTAGCTCAATCAATGCCTAGTTAGATAATATCTACTACACAAGCATAAACCTGGCACATCAGTCTGTAAATACTTGGGCCACATACTGTTAAATTAGTCACTTTACTGATAAATGGGTACTTTTGTTCCATTCTCAGTTTCTTTTATTTAGCTTTAACACTAAGAAGATAAATCTCCTATATGCGGGAAAGCTGAGCAATACATTCATTTGAATGACTTCAAAATATAAATAAAATAAAATTCATGCCACTGTTAATCGATAATGAAATGACAGTTATAAAATGAAATCTTAACCCATATCTGGATCATTTATTCTTGCCATGGTCCCTTCAGTTTCTGGCACTGACTGACACTAAAGTGCCCTTATTCACTCGTACATTCTTTCAAAAGGATTTTAATTATATACGATTGAGCCTGTGGAGCCCAAAACGTTGTCACTGCTGGGCAAAACAATCTCATACGCACTCAGGCTCGAAGGTGCGCGTTCAACTTTGCGTAGGGCGCAAGTGCGGTCATGAGTGCAGGAGCATCAGCCAACCACTAATCAATAGTCCTCACTTGGGGTTTATCGAACACACCATAACAAAATAATATCAAACCTCCCTGTCTGTATACCCATCTCACACGCACAACCCAAAAAAAGGTATTTCACGTGATACGTCTGTTTCCCCCACAGTTTTGCCATACCGTAGCTAATTTTGGGGTGACTTTCCAAACATTGGAGAAACTGTCATAGAGATTACTGAGCGTTGTCAAGGCATATTAATGTAGCAGTCCTCTACAAGCCTTACCGAAAACAAAGAGAGCAGTGGAATTGAGTGTATAGTAGGTAGCGTAATTGGTTGCTAAAGATGAATTAAAATACACCAGAGGGTGAAAATAGGCATTGGAGAGCAAAGACGAATGAATACACAATAAAGAGATAAGGTAAGAATAGACGTGCACGGTTCTAGAGTTAATAACTGAGTACCGCTAAGCAATAATTACCTATTTAATTTCCAAATTTAAAATAAATTCGGTGTACTTTGGTCCCAAAATCTAAACTTTTAAATTTAAATTGATCTTTACTCCCAAAATTGCTATGCCAATAAAAGATATTAACGCTTTTCTTGTAGGCAAGTAAATCTAGGCTAAATAGTTCAAAAATGATAAAACATTGCCACTCTAATATTGCTAATTCCTTGTCTATTTGATGCCGTGGCTACGGCTTCTCAGACCCAACGGATGAATTATAAAATAAACCGCGTCAAGGAAATATAATTAATTCTCATGTTGAGTGAAGTGTAGCATGTGTGGGGTTGCATATTCTAGCATGAGCGTGGAAAATCAAAAATCGATTATCCAGTGCACCCGAAACGAACCACGTGGATTATGTTCAAATGCTCTGAAAATAACCTTGTCGGTTTGTCAACAAGTTTCTAGAGCCCGCAGCGGAGTTATGCTAGAGATTTAGAACTTGTTATTTATTATTAACCAATTCCGTAATTTTCTTACCTCTTTTCCCACTTTAATCTCAATAAAAATATATCTGATCTAATCTCAATGACCGTTTTTCTTCATAAATTGCGTTTATTTTGTCAACACTGTATTTATTTTCTGTTTATTAACAGATTTGAAGACCATTAAGTAACTTTTCGCCAGAAAGTGCCTTCTTCGATTTCTTCTAATGTCGCTTTTCACATGGAAATTGCTCTCTGTTCTGTTTGAAGTGGAGTTAGACGATAAAATCATGGTGTTTCCGTTCCCTTTCTAAAAGCCACGCCTTATACTTTGAAATGCATGGGTGGCGAGATTTTTGTGAGCATTATCTACCAACAGCAACCACTGATTTTATTTTAAGATCATTTTGAACATACAAGCTGGGCAACAGGGAGCATAGGTTTCAGATTCTAGTGCATTGGAAAATCACTTGGGCTGGGGGGGGGGTTATTTTGAATTTTGACATTCATCTTTAGCTTTAATCAAGTTTTTAATACTCAAAGAAACACCTTAATTCGTTGAATAACCTTGCAGTTGAAATAATTTGTTAAAAGCGCTCATGGAAGACATAAATTCTTCTATGCGCTTCGTTGTGGAGTGCACAACGTTGTCAAGGCTGAACAAAGAAATCTCATGCGCACTCAGTCGGGCTCGAAGGTGCGACCGTGCTACATGTCACGTGAGGAGGAAGTGTTGTCGTGAAAGTAGATAACTCTCAGCCAGCCACCAATCAATAGGCCCCAACATTATTATTATTATTACTATTATACCAAATGGCAGGCATCTTGATCGTTATCATTAGCCCTTTAATTGACTTAAAGCTTCACACAGGTGAAGGAACATCAAAGCGAAAAAATCGAGAAGGGGAGGGAACAGAAAGTGTTTCAAAGATGTAAAAGAGACAGACATAAAGGTAGAAAAAAGGTGAGGTGAGTACTGTGAAAGTAGTCGAATATGACATACAGTGGGGTGATGGTAGTTTGAAGTCAGAAGTCAGTTGCCGGTTAATAGACTTTTTTGCCGTATGAGTATACGTCGCCCAGGGTGCACCACATGGAGGTAAGTCTATCGCACACCCCATAGGCCCCAACATTGTTTAACAAACCCATCACGCAGGGAGCTACTCATGATCAGGATGGGGGATTAGGTTAAACAGAGGTTGATGATTGGTCACTGTTTGTACGGTCGCTGCACACAGATTTGTTCGGCCGTACCTCCCAACCCTGGCGAGCAGACGTGCAGGCATACGATGAAGAACAACGCGTTAACGTGTCCCACAAACTAAAGCCAAAAAGAGATGGGAGGTTCAAGATTAAAGTCTTCAAAATCAAAGGGTGAACATGATTTATTCAAAGTCTAGAACTGTTTCAGGGACAT